TGGACTCTCTCCCCGAACTGCATCGATCGCACTCATAGAATTTTAATTACTAAACGTTTAAATTTCTTGTTAAATCTTCATTGAAAATATCCAAAACATCTGCCTAAACATTCGTTTCTGGACTTTACACATTTTTTTTAATAACAAGCTTTTCCTAGAGATTAGATTTTCTTAAGTGTCTTAAGAGCCTGCTAATGTATTTGCATCGAAAACTTCATGTTTTAGTGTATTTTCAGGAGCTGTAACAATGTGAGCAGATAATGACGGTTTTAGAAACATAAAGTCTTTATTAAGTGCATTACAAAGTAAAATTGCAAGTTTTAATGACAGTATTTAGTATAAACTGTATGTATTATGTAGACATAGATATTATTTACTTAGCTGTTTACACTTTGCATCCACAATATTTTCTTTGCATAGCCTGGACGTAGACTGGTAGAGAATGAGAATAAAGAATTGCATTAAGTCCGCCTTTTTGTACTTGGTGTGCAAATAAAGCATAAATAAATAAATAAATATTTTAGAGTGAATCCAAACCTCCATAGCGTTTTACGAAAATATGCCTTAAAATTATAATAATTAACTCTAAACTCCTTTCAAAATCTACAAATGATTAAATATTTAAGAAAACAACTTTTAAAATTTAACACTGGCCACAAAAATCTTTTTAAATTCGAAATTATATTTTTAACCAACGCATCGACAACTAATACTGTAATATTAAGTTTAGTTCCGGCACGTGACTTCGGAACGAATTATACTATACGCGTGCGTGTAGCGTGTACTATATAAGATCAATTAACACATTCTTGAACCGTGATATGATAGAATTGTGTAAATTTCCTTAATATAGCACGAAAACAAACAATAGCTACTCATCGGAAATGATTGCAGGTCCTTATCTATTACGACCTCAGAGCAAAGAACACTATTACAACATAAAGTTTTTTTTTTATAGAATAAGGGTGACAAACGAGCACGCAGTCCACCTGATGGTAAGTGGTTGCTGTGGCCCATAGACATCTACATCTATCTTCGTTTGCGAATCAAAATGCAGATGCGTTATCACCCGTGAGGACTAAGATGGAATGCCTCGTTTCCAGTAAAATGGGTCTCCGGTTCTCTACACTCACCATACGAAACACAGCAGCGTTAAGCTGCTATTTTACGCTGGTATTCAAACAAAAAAAGTTCTTAACATAATTGTCGATATGGTGTGTGACGTATCATATTCGTTATTTTATGTTTATATAAAAGAAGGTTTACAAACGAGCACATAGTACACCTGATGGTCTGTGGATGGTGAGGCTCATAGTGAGTGACCGGAACCAAAGGCCCGCTTTTTACTTGCAGCGAGAGACTTAAGTCCTCAAGGGTGACAAGGCATTAGAGTTTTGATTCGTAATCACGGATAGATGATGGTGTTTATGGGCGACATCATCCAATTAACATTAGGTGATCCTCTACTATTATTCCAGATGCCGTGACGACCTGGTAAGACATGCAGGCAGTTGATGGGTGCAGGTAGCTCAAGTCCGTATTTTGTAGCACACCTTGAGGGAGGTCTATGTTCAGCAGTGGACTTGTGAAGGGCTGTAATTATGATGGTGATGACTTGTATAATATTAAATTCAAAATTCGTAAATAGCATTCGGTCAACGTCTGGCTGTCGTAACGTATGTCAAACCTAAAGGTCGCTACATGACATGCATATGGCGATCACGGAGGTCGTATTTGGTGGATGTTTAGCGCCGTTATGCTTACTAATGACGCGAATTAAATTTACAATAGAATAATTTACCGGCGGGGCCTATTACGGGCGCTATTGCGAATTTGACACTACTGAAAATAAGGTAGGAATTACATAAATCATATCGAAACCGGGTAGTGGCGATATAAGAATATCCACTAGCCCATATCGTCCCGAAGGTCTCGTAAGAGACGATTGAGGGTAAAATGAAACAGGAGATGGGCTGCAGCATCTGATAACAACTCCAAATAATTAAAAACTGCGGTTGCCGAGCCGCTTGCCAACCGTGGCAACTATGACAAAATCCCCCCCCCCCCCCCCCCGAGGTAATCTATGATGGAGGCCTATTTTCAGCAGTGGAGCAGTGGACTCTTAGACTCTGTAATGGATGGATAACCATGCAATAGTCTCATTTTAAGTTAAATTTTTCCACAAATCTCCCACTTTTCCACAACTCTCACACACCTGTCTCCTGCTCTCCCAGGATTGCCAGGTGTCATAAACAAGTCCAACCTTTGTAACATTTACTCAGTATAAGTATAAGGTGCCTTTAATAAGAATAAAATCAATTAAATAGTATTTTTGTACTACCTACTAATTCTTGCAGTTACAATATCAATCGGTTTTACTTTTCTACCGACTTCAAAATGGAGGAGTTACTCAATTCGACTGTATGTTCTTTATTTTTATTCTTTTTTTATTTAAAAGCTGGTGCTTCTCATGTGGTACCCATATATATCAAGGTATGATAAATAGTTTTTGAGTTCTCCGTAATAATTTATATTGAAGTCGGTTGTACAAAATTTTTAATTTTACCACTTTTTCGAATATGTATTTGTATTATAACTTATTAAGTGGCGAAGCTTGCGAAGTCACTTATTGATTTCACGATGTCTGTCCGTCTGTCCGTCTGTCCCACGATTATCTCGAGAACGGTTTCGAATTTTCAAATTCTGTTTTCAGCAATCGATTACTGATCACCCAGGCATCTGAACCTCCTATTTTGAAACTGATTGCTCAACGGCAACCGTTAGAAACCGCTACAAAGCTGATTGCTTCGCCACTTTGCTATGCTGTTAGCTTGCTAGTTTTATTTTAAGACAGATTTTCTTAAGTAACCTATCAGAAGTAATTTTTAGGAAACCATAATGAAGGGCGTTAAATCAGAACAAAAGTATTTTGTTTAGATTACCTACTGGCCCGCAATTACACCATATATATAAGAAAGTTGTTTTTAACTTTTGCATACAGTTCTCCGCAAATGAACTTTCTCATTTATAATTTAATGAGATTTTCTGTAAGGTGTATCTAAGATACAGTCTCTGTCTAATTTAAACGTCAGTAGCTTCATAATAATTGTAGAAATACATAATTGGTAAGCTAAGTTTTGTTTTTATTGTTTATCATGACTACTTAATCTTAAGGATATAATAAAGATATTATTATTGTTTAATTACCATATATCACTTAAAATAAATTATATACAATATTAAAATCTATAAAATAAAAAATAAAAAACTAGAAACTTAATTATCATATAGTCCTACTCCTCGCGGTATCGTGCCAAAAACGCTGGCTGTTTTTCCCCGCTGAATGGCTATACTTAGCCTTTGAGCGAGAAAGGAACCAGCCCTCTTTTCACCAGCAGTAACGACCAACCGCGGATGGAGTTCCTTTAGGAACTTCACCGCACGTGGACCCCACGGACCGATAGTCTCTACAGCAAATGGCACAAACATGTTAGTCATCTCTCAGAGACTCATATTTGCGCCACTTACTCAGTTCAGCTGCCTCAGATGCCGCCCCGTCTCCTTAACGAATCTCAGAATTTGTTCTTGTTTTACCTAAAATAAGGTAAAAACTTGAGGTACCCATTTCTAGTCATTAGATTGCAGGCAATTTTGCTGAAAATTGTTAAAGTTACAGCAGTGGTTGTTTCAACCCCGTGCCTCGGAAAGCACGTAAAACCACGGGTCCTACGCCTGCTCTCACTCCAGACGTGTCGGCTTGCCGTCCCATCGGAATATGAGATATGCGAGATAATTGAGCGTGATGCACCTGACATGTGTCATGCGCAGTGGCTAGCATCCTTTCAGACTGGGCGCCATGAAATAAATTCCGCCAGAAGGATATATTTAGGAATGACATTTTATGACGTCATTGGTGCTATTATAAATCAAACCTAAAAATGTTTTCAAATACAAAATACCAGGCATAATTCGTCACTAAACTATCGTCTATAAAATTAATCAATCGTATTTGTAGTTTTACATTAAATCTAATATTTTTAATTGTCTGATGAAAAAAAGCTAGTAATCCGGGAAAGAATAACGTTTTTTTTTGCTCTCCTGTAATTTTTTAAAAATTGTCGTTTCCGACGTCTTTGTGGCGTTAGCGACGAATTTGTAAGGCGCAATTTTTATATAAAAAGGTGGAAAATTAGATTTTTAAAAAATTTTAAGGAACACTAACTGTTAGGGAGTCCTACAATTTTAATTTATGCTGCACTTGTCTGCTTATAATAAATTCCGTTACCGTTATAGTCTATTAAAGTCCACTGTTGAACATAGGCTTCCCTCATAGATTGCCTCACGGTGGGCATATTTGCCATAGTTGCCACGCTTGGTACAAGCGAGATGGCAACCAGTTTTTATTTTTAGTCGTTATTAGGAAGACGCTGCTGCAGTTTGTTTCCCTCTGTCGCCTCTTACGACAGCCACGTGTACGTTTTATCGGTATAGTGGTAGAGCCACGCGGCAGCTTTTGCTGTCGCACGGATGGGCCGGCTCGAACCGGGGTGGTAACACGACCTCACAGAATACCACCGTGAAGTAGAGGTTTACCTCTGCGTTTCGCTTGGTAAGTGCAGGTGGCCGGAGGCCCTTTTTACTGGAAAAGAGGCATTCCATCTTAGTCCTCACGGGTGACAACGCATCTGCATTTTGATTCGCAAGCGAGGGCAGATGTAGATGTCTATGGGCCGCAGCAACCACTTACCATCAGGTGGACTATGTGCTCGTTTGTCACCCTTATCCTATAAAAAAAAATAGTAGCGGTGTAATATCCACTACCCCATATCAAAATAGATCTATCGTCGTACTTATACTTGTTTGTGAATGTTACTTAACAGGTTAGGGTACGGTAGTTACAGTAAAGCGGTTAGTTAATGATAGTTAAGCGATTGGTAGTTAGTCACTAGCGAGGTTAGTGTCGGTTATCTGTAAGCTGGGCTGTCGCCGTACTGACTCACCGCAGGTCATCTAGAAAGTCATTCACCGCAGCTATCATCTCGCCGCGCTTATACTGTAATAATAAAACATAATATATAAAGTAAAAATAAAAAGTAAATAAAAACAGAACACTCGTAATAATTCTATTGATAAAATTCTCCGTATCTAGTCGTAGTACACCGCAGAAGTCGGATGACGGATCCGAAACTAAGACTTAAGATTTTTGTGACAAACGACCACACAGTACACTAGATGGTAAGTGGATGCTGTGACCAATAAACATCTACCCACCCCCAAGTAAAAGAGTTCATGGTGAATCATCCCTATTATGTCAGAGGAAGAAGACGTACTAGTTAATCGATAAACAGTAGCCTAATGGGTTGAGGGTACGGACAGCAAAAAAATGAGGCATTCCATCTTTGTCCTCTGGGATGACATGTAACTGCATTTTGATTCTTAATCGAGGATAGATGTTGATGTCTGTAAGCCACAGCATCCACTTGCCATCAGATAGAACGTGTGCTCGTTTGAATAAAAACCACATAAAATGCCAGCGTGAAGTAGCAGTTTAATGTATATGGCGAGGGTACATATGGAGTAAGTAGAGAACCGGAGATCCTTTTTACAGGTGACGAGGCATTCTATCTTAGTCTGTAGAGGTGACACCGCTTCTACATTTTTATGGTTAACCGAGAATACCACGAGGTGGACTGCGTGCTCGTTTGTCACCCTTATTCTATATATATAAAATAATACTATAATCATTAATCACTATCAACGCAAGAACTGTCTGTTACCAGTTTTGAGCTGCCGATTGTTAGGAGCATTTAGCGTAATCGCATACCTTGTCTACATGTATTTATAAATATTATAAATGGTATCTATCACACGCAATCAATAGCGCCACAGCACAGAACACTTGTACTTCATCCTGATAATTTAATTAAAAGGATAAACATTTTCTTTTTTGGAACTATATCCATTAAACAGAGCAATCTCATATTTAAATTACTGGATTATTTTAAAAGAACCTTTAATTATCGTCGATTTAAGTTCAAATTTATATGGAACCACTGTGAAAGTATAAACACTATCTTCAATCTTAAATTAATGTGCTACTTACATTTAAAACAGGAATTGATAACGTTCGCCTTTTTCGAAAACGTTTAAGTTATACCGAGATATAAAATATAACGCACTACTATTAGCATAATAAATGTGAAATAAACGAGAACAATCCTAATTAAATGGAATAATAACTAGAACAATTACTATTTTCATTTAAAACTAAGGTTTTTTATTCCAAAACTCCTTTATTCCTACCTGTGTATTTTTCAAATAAACATAGTTATTTTATTTTTTTAATTTAAACAAAAATAAATCATATTTTTGTTTGAATTAAAGTAATTTTTTTAGACTTATATATTGTAACACTCTTTAATTTTGTCTTTGTAATATATCCACTGATAATGTTTATGGCAAACAATATTTAGTTACAAATCAAACAAGCAAATATAAACAGCAATAAATACATACATTCCAGAACACAATATTCGAGATCAATTCAGTTTCATTTGATCCGAGGGAAGCACTTGTGTTGGCACTTGCATACACTTTCACTCGCAGCGAGACGAACACCGACTGGTCCTCGACAACGCCTTTTCGGCGGCGGACCGGTCCGTAGATATCGCGTTCAGTCGTAATAATTATTTAAATTTATTCCCAAGTTAACTGACTTAATATGGTAACAGTAAAGTAAATAAGAATGTATGCATTTCACTTATCGTAGTTACAACTTATACAGAGTTTTGTTAAATGGAATTTGTTCGACACTTTTCATCAGAGATTGTTTTTTTTTATATAGAATAAGGGTGACAAGTGAGCACACAGCCCACCAAATGGTAAGTGGATACCGTGGCTCAGACTTCTACATATATCCTCGATTAAGAATCCAAACGCAGATGCGTTGCACTCCTTAGGGCTAAGATAGACCCTCTTTACTGGTTAGGACATACAGTAAAGAGGGTCCGGTTCTCTACACTCAACATACAAAAACAGCAGCATTGAGCTCCTGCTTTATGCTGGTAATCTTTGATAGCGTGGTCCTTTCCAGTCAAGCCGACCATTCATGCTATAACCATAATATAGCTGCAGCATGGCAAATTGTAAACTTTTGAATTTGTTTTTTTTTACTTATTATAGTGCTTGTTACAGTGTAGTGGCGGTGTAAGAATATCTACTAACCCATAGCATCTTGCGGGTGTCGTTAAAGGCGACAGAGAGAAACGAATCAGGAGATAGGCAGCAGCGTCTCCTTAATAAAAAAAAACTGCAGTTGCCAGCGTGGCAATTATGACAAATATCCCCCCTATGAGGCAATCTATGGGGGAGGTCTATGATCAGCAGTGGACTTTAATAGACTGTAACAGTAACGATATGGTGCTTGACTAAAATCTCACCTGGTGGCAAGTAATGAAGCCCTAGTCTTAACGTAACAAGAGCATAATCTCTCTTGCCTTGACCAGATTGTAATCGGGCGGAAAGATAGACTCCGGTAGATTATTTCCATTCATATACTGTATATGTGTACAACATTACGAAAGAAGAAGCATACGTATTTTATACGTGGTAGAGCCATGCTGCAGCTATGTTAGTAGTATAGTTGAAGCGCTAATGGGTCGGCTCGACCGGGCACGGACCACGCTCTCACAGAATACCAGCGTAAAATGGCAGCTTAACACTGCTGTGTTTCGTATAGTGAGTGTAGAGAACCGGAGACCCTTTTTACTGGAAAAGAGGCATTCCATCTTAGTCCTCACGGGTGACGACGGATCTGCATTTGATTCTTTATTGAGGATAAATGTGGTGGACTGTGTGCTCGTTCGTCACCCTATCCTATAAAAAATAACGTTTGGGCATTCCATCTTAGTCCTCACGGCTGACGACGGATCTGCATTTTGATTCTTTATTGAGGATAAATGTGGTGGACTGTGTGCTCGTTTGTCACCCTATCCTATAAAAAATATCGTTTGGTTCGAATGTAGAGGACAACAAAGGGGTGTTGACCCGCTGACAAGTTAGTTGTCCGATGGTGGAAAGGGGAGGGAGGAATTAAGGCATCTTTTAATATTTTTTACAACAACCCTCTTTCATAGAAATCGCCTTTGATAAATTATGTGCGATAATAAAAGTAGCTGGTACATGACTAAACTGTATCCAATAGTAACGGATGCCTCTTACCTAAGAGTTGAGGAAGTCAAACGTTAGCTTGGATTTTGGAATCCCGCTTTCTACCCATGCCTTAGCCAACTATAATAGCAATGATTTCTTATATTTACTACAGTACTACACATTGGATAAAAATAATTTTACAGATTTAATCGCGTTCAAAACTTTTTTTTAATACCAGACGTTTCGGGCCCTTGACGTTCAGATGTCATATTTAACAAGGCTACCTACCTTCACTTTTTAATAAACATACATTTTTGACCAGATTAAGAAGAGCTTACAGTATCTCAAAGTCACGCAATAGTAGGCTTGAGTTTGGATTTAATTTCATTAATAATGGGATCCTAAGCAAATGGTAAGCACCCAGCCATCTTCTTTATTGAAATTAGGATGTTTTCTTAATTTCAATAGCCTTGCAAATCATCTTTGTTAGGAATCGGTGTTCTTATCCGTGTACAATTAGACTGAATTCATGTTGACAAGGAGTAACTGCTTTTTCAACTCCACTGCTGGATGTAGCCTATACGTATGCATTATTTGAAATACTTGCTCATACTGTACACCGGTCTGGGATATCACTATAATAACGTTTTACAACACCAATCTATGAAACTTTGGTTTAACTTTTAAGGACGAATTATCCATATGAATAAATATGAACGGCTAAGGATGTATCGGTTCTGTTCCTTAACACAATAAAGGCCACTGCACATCCTAACTGATTGTGGACCCTTAACGCGCAAAGGTAACACTCATGTAGGGTGTATGTACTTCGCCACGAACAATTGCTCACAGTTAAGCTACTGTTTCTGTTGTTGAAGACATTGGGCTTAGCAGTGAAATATAGCCATATCAGCGATCACAATAGTACTTATTAACGCCTCCGTGGCGCAGTGGCTTAGCAATGAGTTGCAGCGCTCCGTGGGTACGAATTTCGTATGTAACAAGTATTTGTATGGCCTACAAATAATTGTTCTGGGTCTGGATCTTTGTCCTTGTGAAATCTATGTATGTAAACTGCTCCCGCGACACAGGAGAAAAACCTAGTGTGGAGGTAACGTTTTAAAAAATATATATCTTTACCTTTATTATAGTTCGCAGTGATACTGTTTTTTCTAGACGTGCATAGCTACTCGCACAAAAAAGTATGAATGTTTAACCTTTTAGAACAATCCCATTAAATCTTTTCAAAGTATTAAACGTAAATAGAGACCTGCTACAATCACTATATAAAATTCATGTCTATTTTACAGTGTTAGCAAGTTTTTTTTCTATTCGAGAAGTTTCCAGATTCTGGATTGCTATATGCGATAGTGAAAGCCAAACAATTTATTCAATTAAGACGTTATATCAGCGACTTGTAGGCGCCATTGAAAACAAGATGGATTCCTTCTCGCCGAGAGATTAAGCTACAAACAGCGTTGATATCAAGCCGTGTGAGGTAATTTTAATACAAGTATATTAATTAATTCCACGAAAACATATATGTGAGAGGACCAGGTTCACAATAAACGACGTTCAGGGTAGTCGGTTAAAGATAAGAGTTGAGATCTGAACAGGTGCCAAATTCTATAGCAGTTCCTTAGATCCACATACCACTGAAAGTCTTAGTGCCAAGCTTGCCAACATATTGTACTGATTAGGTTTCATAAAACCCAGTCGATCAAGTCCAATCAATAGGTACAACATATTGGCTAGCTTTGCACTAAGCATTTCAATGCTATGTCGAGTTAAGAAACTGCTATTGAATTTATATAGCCGCTCTAGCGATCCGCGCCAGCTTCGCACAGGTGATTCCTGGGTCGTGGTGGGTGGTAGTTACCGGGCCCA